GGGCATCCCATGGGACTGATGAAAGACCGACGCAAAGTACTCATTTAATCGGTTGGCTTTTTTAATAGCTCCTTCTTGTCCAGTTAGCAGAACATGACCCACTCTCTCTGTCTCCTTGCTTTATCTTTTTCGGGTGCCTCTCCCCAGCAAGTGTCCTAGTTCTTCAGACTCTGGTATGAAGTCACAACAAATACACAGGTCCTTCTGTACAATCCTAGTTCTAAATGTTCAGTAATTTCTCACCTAAAAATATATTTCTGCCTTTCCATTGTGTTGTCTGTTGTTTGCCTTATCAATAGCTAAATTCTGTATATTGACAAGCTGGTAAACTTAATTATCTGCTGTAAGACTTCTGTGCCATTGTTCTTAGCTTTGGAACTTTGGGAATGTGTAGATGAGATGGGGGCCCTAAATTGAAGCGGTGGGTTTTAAAAAACACCCCTTCAAGTTAGGACTGATTAAACCTCCATGTTGTGCACATACCCCGCTGACTTATGTGCCTCTGTGGTGGGGAGGGGAGGGCGAATTGCTGGCGGGAGGGGTGGTCCCTGGGCTGTGGGGGGTGGGCTGGTGCTTTTCTCTGCAGCAGCGGCAGCCCCCTTCCCCAGGCAGCATTCGCCTGCAGGCACCTGGCTCAGGTGGTCCCAGGGGGCACCGCAGCCACAGAGGGGCCCCCGCACAGCTCAGGCAGGCAGGCAGGCTCCAGGGGGGAAAAAAAGATGAGGCTTCCTGGTTTTTTATTTATTTATTTTTTCTTGGGGGAGCCTGCCTTCCCTGGCCGCTGCAGGCTGCCTGCATGGGCTTCCTGTAGAGCCCCTGAGCTGCATGGAGCACAGTGCTTCACTCGGAGGAGTTTAAGTTTGCTGTGCCCCAAGTTATTTAAGGTGAGTTACACTGCTGAATTTGCTACAGCGGCTGGAATTACTGTGCAATATGCCACTGGCATCTGCAAACACTAACACCATTAAAGTGGTGCAAAAACATTTCACCTGCTTTAAAATGTCGTGCACACACGCCACTCGTTTCATCTACACACGGCCATAGTCTCAACAAGGTGATTTCAGTTGGGTAGAGTGGTTTTCTAATGTACCTATGTTGCTTCTGGTACCAGAGCTAGCTGGTGTAGAGCTAGCTTAGGTATCAGTAGTTGGTGCTGCACTGTACAATGTAGAAGAGTCCAAATTCTTTACAGATTCCATCTGCATTGGGCATGTTCCAGGCCAAGGCAGCATGAACTGAACAGGAGCCTATGGGGAAAGGTGTATAGGAATGGAGGGCAGGGAGTAGAGTTAGATATATACAAAGGAAGAGAAGGACTCGACTCAAGGGATGATTGAATGGATAGTAGTAGTAGTAGAGGGGAGAGGAACCAAGGGAAAGGAAGATTGAATAGGCTGTGACTAAGGGTTGTAGATAAAGGCATGAGGTCTGGAACTAGGCTGTAGGATTGGATAGAAGTGGAATTGGGGGAGCAGGGCCTGAGAGATGCCTTGGAACCCAGTGAGAAGCAGTAGCAACTAGAATGGAATTGGGTGGAAGCAGAGAGGGGAAGAATGTCCTATCTTAATTATCATATTATTCTGATTATAGGTTGACCAATGTGTATGTTATCCCACGTTTTCAGTTTGAATTCTAAGAAAAACAGCTTATTCCATCAACAGTGAAATTAATATACTAATACATTCAGTGTTTCTGCAATGGTATAGCGTGATGATAACACAACTGTTTGGACCCAGCTCTTGGTCAAACATGCATATAAGTCGAGATCAATTTTTATGGTTCATTTTGAGGAAAAAAAGGTCAATTTGTAATTGGAACAACGTAGTAATTTTTATTATGCACAGCTTGGAATATTTGCTACATTTTCAGAAAATTGGACTTTAACTTTTTTGGCTTTCTGTATTTTTATAGACAGTACAACATTCTTAACAATCCTATAAACATAGGACTAAAACCTGGAGCAGGGCTCAGGTCACCAAAGATCTCAATGACAGATTTACTGAAGGAGATATTGAAGCCAGAAACTTCTCCCTTAAATGAGGACAGCCTGCTAACTAGTCGAAAGCTGTCAGCAATTGAATCTAAATCCTCACCCACAGAAGTAAGTTAAATATTTAAATATGCCTAACATACATTGAAACATGAGAAAAACAGCTTTGATCTTACTTTGAGAACACATTGTTTGTGATTCTGCGCAGGTATGTGATGGGCTTAATGCAGTGCCAGCTTCTCCACAAGAGAAGGAAGATTGTAATTTAACTTTGACACCAAAGCAACTTCACCAGATACTTGTTGGTAAGATTTCCACTTATTACAAAAATGTATTTGACTAATATAAAATAATTTATTTGCACAATGTAATCTGTGCAACATAATATTTGCCTTAAATAATATGAGGATAATTAAAAAATAGTTTTACTAGCCATATTAATGCTTAGTCATCAGTCCTGTACCTGGGCAGACAGTACTAAGGTGAGGTAAACTTAGATTTGGGAGTCCTGGAAGATATCTACCTTTATAAACTAATCAAACTAAGATATACCACTGGAAAAATGAGTAAAATCATGGGACAGATGGTGTTCACTCTAAAGAGAAATACATGGAATGATATTAATATTGGTAGCAGCACCCTTTTTAGTGGTGCCTTCAAAGAGAAAATTCTTGGAATTAGAAAGGAATAGTATCTGAATGGAGAAGTTTGATATCTTCAGAATTTTTCTAGGACCAAATTTCAGTAGGGAAGTTATATATGGGAAGGATGAACCCCTACTTAGAAGCTAAATGGAATACTCTCTTAGTAAGAGTTGGTACTAGAAGTATTTATCTTTTTTTGTGCAAGCATTAGTTCCCCTAAAAATTACAGGTAATTAGTAATATGATCTCAGTGGTTACTGATCTGTATTTCAAGATTAAAACATTGTTTGCAGCCGGAATAATTCAAACAGGGTGCTTATGTATATTGTGTGTAGAAAGAAAGTTTGCTTAGCTCTGCTCAAACCTTCCTGTGACTGCTTGACTTTCACACATCCCATCTACAACCCCTTGGCTTTTACTGTTGTACATCTCCTGTACAAATGGTATTTTTAAGAATAAACAATTTTGACAGTTCTTCCATTCATGAAAAAGAATGGGACTGTACTTTCTAAACACCGCACTTTACAGGATGTGGGAAAATTGCAATATGCTGGGTAGTATCTAGGCATGTGGAGAATTGCATGTTGCACGCACGTTTGCTATTTATTTGGAACATGGGGATTAGGTTTTGTCAGACACACTTGGTGATTTTTTTGTGAGATTGCAAGTTTGTTTGGTATAGATAACTATTATCATAACATACATGGACTTCCATAAGACACTTGATGTAGTAGCATACGACTGGTAAAGTTCACAGGGAATGCAGATTTGATAGAAATGTAAATAATAAGCACACATCAGTTTACAGAATGATCTGGACCACTTGAGGTCCCTGACACATGTTATGTTAACTATGCAATTAATTGTTCAATATATTTAGATCTACTACATGTTCAAAGTAATTATTCCCCAATAAAAATGTCTATCTAGGTATAAAAATGGCCAACTAGCTACAAAGATGCTGCTGGAAAAATGTAGAACACTTTTTTTTTTAGCTTGTTTCTGTCAAGCGTCAGTTTGAATGTGTGGCATATCACACATCAGGTGATAGGTCTTTGTTGGGTCCAATGGCATTCCAGATTGCACTTCTCTCTCCCTCACTTCACTGGCCACCTATCTGGAAAGGCTGTGAACAGAGCCCTTAGTTGTCAAGTACACTTTTCTCAGAAAAGCAGAAGAAAGCCTTCCTGAGGCATGGAGCACAGTGCTATGGGTTCCTTCTCTCGACTCTGGGCAGAGGTGGGAGGAGGTATACTCCCAGGACACAGAACCAGGCATGCAGGGAAACACCTGCCTTGCTAAGAGCATGGTTAGGGGCTCTCTCTGTTGCTGAGAGAAACACAGGGTGTGTGGGGCAAGAATAGATCCCCATATGAAGCCAAGCATCCGGGGCACCCCATGGAGCCAGGCATTGCTCCATGCACAGCAGTATCTGTGGATTCCCTCCCTCTCCCTGCACTGAGCGAAGTGGGAGGTGTGTATATGTATATATGTAGGGAGAGGGGGAATTACTCTCCTGGCAGGGAGCCAGACATGGGGAAACCCCTGTCCTACACAACAGGGACTGTGGATTCCCTCCCTCTCCCCACACTGAGCTAAGTGGAAGGAATTCTCCTCTCACCCTACACTTTGTTCAGTGTTGGGGGAGGTGTTGTCCCTAGGATTACTTTTACCAGAGACCCCCAAGGATTGACATGGCCCCTTGTCCGATTTGGTATCAAGTGAACTTTTAATAGTAAACTCCTAGGCTTACTACAAGTATTCCTCCTTGCAATATGACCTGGTAAGCGATTCCTGCAGGCATTACAGCAGCGACCTTCGGTGGTACTGGCCTCAGATCCTCTGCTGGGCGTGCTGGATGTTAGTTTCTGGATTCCTCATTGTTCAAACAAGAAGTCCAAGGTTGTTCCTCTCTCCCTGGGGTGGCAGCACAGAACACACATGTGTTCCTTTGTTTGTCTATCACTTCTGTAACTTCTCTCATCCCAAACTGTCCAGTCCTCTGGCTCTGTGCCAAGCATTCCTTATATGGTGCACCAATCCCCTGGCACTGTATCAGCCACATTCCTTATAGGGAAACTGCTGTCCTTTGCTTGCCTAGTGCCCAATCAGAGCACTCACATTTCCCAGTGCCACAGAAGGTGCTCTGTTCAATTTTGTTGCCTAATTCTGGGAAGGCCTGGATTATGGCTAAAAGCCTTAGCATAACTCAGTTTGCCTGCTACAGGAGGTAGGTAATCATCCTGTGCTTTGCTTCACAGGGAAAGGGAGGGAAATCCTGGGGGTGCTCCTCTAAGCAAGGAAATCCCAACTTTTCCTGCTTACGGAGAGAGACTCTGGAAATCCTGCATCATTGCAAGTAGGAAACTGGTAGTAGGAAAGTGATGCACCCCAAGATTCCCTGGTGTGTGTCTGTGTAAGAGAACCTGTGTCTGGCTGGGGTTTGAAGGGCCTGATCCTGCATCAGAATTCCTGGGGTATCACATATTCCTTTCAGACTAGAGAGTAAAAAGTGCACATTGCCCCTGAGAGTAGTTCATAAACATGATCATATCATTATGTTCAACAGCATTGCCTTAGGCTGCATTATGCTATTATTTTTATTAAACAGTTATGCTTGAAAGCTGTGGCACAGTAAGAGACTTTAAAGTAGTGGCGGCCAATGTTTTTGGCAAAAGTGAGACAAGTTAAGCCCCCGCTTTGATCTCTACCATGAAGAGGCGTGTCTGATAGCTTGTGCCCTGGGGCACCTGAATGGAGTGAGTGGGGCTTTAGTCTCTGGTTGCAAGGAGCAGCTGGTCAGATGCTGCTCAGAGAGGTGTCACCACCAAGACCTGCATTAACTCTTCCCTCTCCCTGCAACCACTCCAGTTTTATAGGGCAAGCAAGGATCCAAAGCCCTTAATTTGGTAGCAGCTGCATCACAAATGGCATATTAACCTGGCTTTTGGAAGTGACACCTCCTGTTGCAGGAGCATTCTGCTGCCTCTCTATGCTGTGTGGCCAGAGACTTGTGTAATTCAGTTTGCCTTACTAGCCTGTGCACAGAGAAAAAGAATTAAGTGCCAGGTCTGGCTATGTTTCATAGTTTCATAGATTAAGGGTCGGAAGGGACCTT